TTGCACAGATGTCATTTCTACCCACAACCAGTTGTAGTCAAGTAAATCCACATAACTGCAAGGGGGCTGGAAAATGTGGGGAACTCAATGTAATATTTAGCAGGCATTTCTGTCTCTACCATAGCCTCTCCCCTTCTTTATGCATATTGTACCTGCCCTGTCCCCCTGCCCCATATTGGGTCAAGCTCTAGATTATGTAGAAGAAGATGTGATCAGATCATCACTGAGTATATGATACTTCCAAAATAATGGTCCTGGTGGGAGCATCTCCTTGAATCCCTTGCGTTCAGATAAGTGACGTGTCTAAACCATCCAAGACAAAAAGTGACTTGTTTTATTTTTGAGTGTCTGCTGAAGAGGTTGCAAACTAGTGTCCTGCAAGACTAAATTTGTGCCACAGTAACTTCATACAGAATCCTAAATTTCTGACGTTTCTTAAGTATTTGGAAAGTCTGGCAACACAGGCCCTGTAGTCGTGCCTGGTGTCAATCAGCTGGAGCCGAGCAGTAGCTACATACTTTAGATGGCCATTCATTCCGTGGTCTAAGCCAGACCCCATCACCTGGCAGCTTGTACCCTATAGGGGGCAGAATCTGGGATTCCTGCTCTATGGGTTTGCAGAGTAGTGTCCTCTACAAAGTTCTGTCACCCCAAAGATGGAGTTCTTTCTTAGGTATAAGTTAACATGATGTAACTTAATTTTCTTAGGTGTGATTGAATCTCTTTAATTTCTCCCGCTCTTATTTGATCATTTCTGCATTAATGTTCTCTTCATGATAAATCTCTTCATTGCCTTTTTGGTCAAGGCTGAACCACTCTAATTTCTTGATTGTCCTTTCGCCTTACATCCCAACATTTACCTCCTTTCACCCTTTGTGTCAATCTTATTGGGACACTCTAGTTATCCCACATCCTTTTAAAGTTATCTGGAAATGAACTAGATAAAAGGAATCCAGGCCTTAGAATTGAAATGTCATATTGTGACAAACCAAAACTCCAGTCTGAAGTGGATGGAGTGTGCTTTGACCCTTGCAAGTTAAAAATCATGGTCACATTCCTTAGTCTAGGAGGTTTTGTCAAATCTCTTTGGGTTGCAAGTCACATCAGCTCCTGGGGCTGCCTGCAGGACTCATTCTCATAAGCATACCACTGCCGCATCCCTAGGACCTGGCTGAGAGAGGAGTATGTTAATCTCTGCACCTTCCTCCTGCTGCAACCTGACTTGTGGTAATGTTTCTGTATGCAGCTCTAGACATTATTTTAAACCCCACCTCACCTTTATTTATTTTTTGAAGAAACAATTTTTATTTATTTATTTTTATTATTTTATTATTTATTTTTTTTTTTTTCATTAAATTTTTATTTTGTCAATATACAATGTATATGATTATTATGGCCCATCACCGACACCTCCCTCCCTCCCCCC